TTTGTAATATATGGAATTAGAGGGCTGTGATCAATGGCTCCCATTAACAGTGCACCTTTAATTGCTTCTTGAGTTAAGGGGATAGGGGGTGTGGTCAGCCAGGTCGGCAGTTCAACTGGTAGTGAAGCAGCCCCAGAGCATAATACTACCACCACCATGCTTACCATGCCAACTGTGTCTCAGCAGCAGATGGTAGTTTGTGTTTTCTTCCTGATCATAGCAGTGATACAACTGTATCATGTACTGTATACCTACAAACAATTGTCTGCAGAGATGATTTAGGGGTTTGTAGCTACTTTAAAATGGCTTAGCTTTCCTGACTTGTTCAAGTTAATGATTTGCTTTTTCAGATATTTGCTAAACTCCTTAAATTTTCCGATTAAAGTTTTTGTGGTCGAGTCTAATGAGTTTATCAAATGGACCCGATTTAAATTAGCTCAGAGGAGTCAGCAGCTGTAATGAATAGTAATCACTCACAAGAAGATAAGAGACAATGCCACAAAGAAAATGTAATAAACACAGCTGTCTACAAATTCTGCAGCCTTCAATTTCCAAAGCAGTGATTTCATTCTAGCACCATACATTTTTTGATAAAAATAAATCACGATCATACAATCAACAGCATTCAGACCAATTCTATCTTTAATAACCCTAACCCACAAACATAAGGACACTCAGTTATCTTTCACACAGCTGTCGCATTTTGTTTGTATCATGTGCTGGTTTCTCTGTAGGTTTCATTAACACACTAGAAATATCTAATTTTTACCAAGTTGGCAGGGTTGGGGTTAATATATATATATACCAGAGCTCCAGACTAACTTTTTCACTGGTAGCACCTGTGCGACCAACTTTCTCATTTGGTCGCACCTCCCACCTTGACACAGGCAAAACTTATGACTTGCTGAACATTTTCTTATCAATAGACACAACAATTTACCAATGCTCTAAAAAGGCCCCACATTGCGGTAGCTGCTGTTGGTATCTATAGTGTGCTCAAACAGGTGTGCTACCAAAAATGATTTTAAAAAGAAATGAAACCGAGCGATGTTTATTTTACACGCGAATGCAGGTGCGTTCCCCTTTTCACTGCATTTTGGGGTTTTTTTAAGTTATTTTTTTGGCCTTTGTGCCTTTATTGGATAGTGTTGGTGAGAGAGAGAAAGGAAAGTAGGAGAGAAGAATGGAGGAGGACATGTGGGAAAGGGTCATGAGCGGGATTCGAACTCATGATCTGTAGCCCTGCACATGGGACGCCAGCTCAACCAGGTGAGCTATAGCGGCGCCCCGAGAAGACGGTATTTTTAAGCGCAAATACCAAGTACACCAAAGTTATTAAAGTTCTGTTTTCCATCGCTGTGGCTAACACAGCAGCTTCCTGTGCCAGTTACAGCGGCACTAATACAGCTTAATGATCATCATGCACTTGCACGAATGTGACCGCTTGAAAATTTACCTCGCACGCTCTGAAAAAAAGATCGCAAATGCAACCATTTTGGTCGCAGACTGGAGCCCTGTCACATGAACATATAACATATTCCAACAAGCTGGAGTCCTTTTTTAACTATGAGTTTGTTTTCTTCCAGGGCTGTAGCCAGAACAGCCACGACACACTCAAGATTCTCTATTCTCTGAGGCTATAACAATACAACGCTTTAGTCATTCAGCTCACATGAAATTCATTCGTATGTTCTGTTGTTCTGATATTTGGTTTCTCCCTCATCTCTCTCTGCCTCTCACTTAATCACTCCCCACAAAAAAACACACAAAAAACCCCCCACTAAGTTCATCATAAAAGGGGGAAATGACACCTAGAGAAACAATCCCAGATAACACAGGTGGATGTGAGGCATTATAATGCCACATGAACAGCAGCAGCTGTGACAGCAGAACTTTCGGGAAAGTGGTCTGGCAGCAAAAGAGTGAACAGAGTACTGACAGGTAACAGACACCATAATAAAAAGGATGTGCTCTTTGTCGAGTGAGCAGAGTGTGACATCCCTCACACTTATCAGTATTAACAAGAAGATGCATCCATCATCTATACACCGCTTAATCCTCACTAGGGTCATGGGGGGCTGGAGTCTATCCCAGATGACTTAGGGTGAAGGCAGGGGACACCCTGGACAGGTCACCAGTCTATCACAGGGATACACTTAGAGACAGACAACCAAGCACACTCACATTCACACCTACGGACAATTTAGAGTCACCAGTTAACCTCAACATGTTTTTGGACTGTGTGGGAGGAAGCCGGAGAACCTGGAGAGAACCCATGCTGCACGGGGAGAACATGCAAACTCCACGCAGAAAGATCCCAGTTGTCCTCACCGGGAGGTGAACCGGCGACCTTCTTGCTGCGAGGCAACAATGCTAACCACCGCTTTGCCTTGCAGCCCTAACAAGAAGTTGAATGATTGTATTCAGTAATTTGTTAGATATCGTTGTGTAATCAATATTATGAGTCAGTTTTCTGACTTGATGACTCCTGCTTTACCTTGTTAGAAATTATACAGTCACATCGTTGCACCACAAAGGGATTCAGGTGCCAGTTGAAACAAATTTTGATTCCTGTTTACCAATAACTTCTGTGACATTTCAGGTACCAGTTATCCCTGCAATGACTACCCATCAACTCACACCAGCTTAAAGTAGAGATAGCTAAACTTTAGAATGCTTTTGTTTTTTTTTTTACAAAACATGGGCTTTACTACTGCTGCTGATATCACTTCACAGTCAGTATGGACAAGAGGTATGATAACATATATTTTTATTTTTATTTAAGATCTAAAACAAACTCTTCATGTAGAACACAATAAGTAGCCATGGTTTTCAGTGTTTAACCATTTAAAAAGACTTCTAGACTCAGTGAACACCCACAGAAAATTGCTAGAAAGAATTGTGAACAAAAAAGGTATAAAAGTGTCACTAAAACCTCTTTAGGATTTCTCAGTGTGTCCACAATAAGCATGTCTGCTTGTCTGGTACAGAAACAGCTTGTGACTCCAGCATGATATGACGACTTTATTACTCCAGCTGCTAGAAGAATCTCTTGGTGATAGTGAGTGAGTCTCTTGAGGCCACCAATGTTCGCCCTGTGTCTTCTGGCTAACCTCCTTTCAAAAACGCCAGTTGATGGAGGAAACCTGCAAGATGTTTCCAGGGGCAGTGTGTCTGTTGAGGCGGTTTATGGGCCAGCAGGGCCAGTCCTCTCAGATTTCACTGAGCTAAGAGAGGGCACAGCTGCACCCACCACACGGAAACCCTCCCCATTCCAAGACAACTGCACTGCTGCACAAACAAGGGGTTGTGCTTTATGCGTGAAAGGGTTCCAGACACAACCCCTATGGAGCGGATTAGGCTGGGCTACACAACTTTGATACACTGTCCCAGGCAGCACAGCATTGACGCCTCTGTGCCTGTTCACAAAGGACTGCCAGGAACCAAGACCTGCTGTCTGAAGTCCTTCCAGGACCAGATAAAGGCTGCACTCATGCTATACACTGATATTTATGTGCAGATACATGCATGTGAGCCCAGTTTTGCTGAATGTAGCTAAAAAATTGATATACAGATTGTAGTATAAAGCATTGTATAGAAAATGGATTTGTCTGATCATTATTGCCAGTCTTGTTTTTTTTTGTTTTTTTTTTACTGTTATCAAATGCTTTTGTATTTGTTGAGAAATTCTACAGCTACCATGCAATCAGAGGGCTGTTTGTCCCATCCTATGTCTCTTGGATATGAGGTAGCTACTTAAAAACATGCACAAATGGAACATATTTTCAATAATATCAGCGACTGGGGAAATGCTCTCCTGTGTATTCTGTGTTTTGAACATATAATCTTGAGAATGAATTTGGATAATGTTCTTTGAATATTAAACTTGTGAAAATATCTACAATAGTTGGGGATTATTACTATGATTAGGTTTTCAATAAATAAATCAGCAACAAAATCACCTGTTGCCACTTTGTCCAAAAATAAATAAATTCAAAACCCCACCAGGTCCTCGTCTAGGTTGGTAGCAAATGTGACTAAAATGTAAAACTGATAAAAACACAATGAATTGTACATCTCTGCACACTGCAGTGATCACGACATAATGATCATTTCAGGAGATTCAAGGCTCAGCTCCATTTTGTCATCCCCAATAGCACAGTCCATCACTACATAACTACAACCAGTCCTGCCACTGAAATACTGGTAAGAACATGAAAAGTGAGTGTGGTGGAAGGTGGGCACTTTTGTCCTACACTGAAACTGATGAAAAAGCGCAACATTTATAGACTGAATGGCTCCAGCAACAGATCCATAAACAAAAATAAAGCAATAAGTCACTGGAAATACAAAGTTGCTATTTGAGCGACACAAGTCTTGGCCCCAGTACAAGCAGCAGGATGCACTGATTTTGCATACACAAACTGTAAAAACAGAAAACTTACAACAAATTATTGTTTGTCTTTGACTTCGCATGCAGGATTCTTTGGGAAGAAAGTGGGTACAAGCAGCACTTAGACTTTCCCATCAAGTGGTGTTGCTTGTGCCTGACAAAACAACAACTGAAGGTATGTAGTATGCCCACAGCTGACTCTAATAGATGTTGAGCAAGTCAGTGACAGTACAGTTTAAACTGATTATAGAATACAGCTCTAACCACACAGTGTTGACTTTGACAAGCTAAGCCTTTGGTGTGCTAAAATGATAATCATACTGACGACTGAAAAGAAACATCAGAGGAGGGAAGGTAGAGAATTAAACACTACCTCCCTGACTGGAAGAGAGCTGTTTTGCAGATGACTCTCAAGAAGATCACCGCAAAGACATATTTAGTGAGAACACATTCTGTGATGACAGCTTCCAACTGGAGGATGTAATGGCAATGATTTAAATGTCTTTGAATTGTTTACTCAAAAATAACCATCCCATGAGGCGGCTCCAATTGGATGACTGAAGCTGAGAGAAACACAGCTGTGGATGTGAATATTTCTATTACTCCTAAAAGCATGTACACAGCCACACTGTGGGAACCCACCGTTTTTTTGGAACAAAAAGCAAGTCCCCGCAGTGTAAATCATACATTTTTGGAATGAGGACTTGTTTTAAGGTTGGGATTAGGTTGGGCTTAAATAAGTTTTAGTGTCAGGCAAAATAACAAATAGTTATGATTCAGGGAAGTAATGGGACATTAATGTACAGGATATAACAGAAATGACACCCCTGTGCCATATCACGTAAATGTTTAACATTCAGAACATTTTCAGCAACATTCAACATTCTATCACATTGAACAGTAGGCTATTTGCTCTCATGTAAAACTAAGAAAAAAACCTAACAGTTTAGATTCCATCCATTAACTATACACGGCTTAATCCTCACTAGGGTCGTGGGGGAGCTGGAGTCTATGCCAGCTGACTGTGGGTGAAGGCAGGGAGACAACCAAGCACACTCACGTTCACACCTTCGGACAATTTAGAATCACCAATTAACTTCAGCAAGTTTTTGGACTGTGGGAAGAAGCCGGAGAACCTGGCGAGAACCCATGCTGCACATGAACATGCAAACTTCACACAGAAAGATCCCAGGCATCCTAACAGGGAAGCGAACCGGGGATCTTCTAGCTGTGAGGCGACGGTGCTAACCACCCCACTACCGTGTCGCCCCAGTCTAGATTTACTATATCAAAGATCCTGGCTCCACATTAGGAAGTCAGTGCGATAAAAGTCAGTCCATTATTCACTGCTGGAATTAAAATATTTGATTTTTCAATACTTCATATGTCCATCGTTACTTTTGATGACATACTCAATCCTCCTTAGCTTGGAAATGTTCTGGCATCAACTCAGGCAACACATTTGACCAGGTCATAGTTTTCACTTTCTCCTTCTTTACAAACTTTTGTTTGATTTTGGCAAAGTACTTTGGATTGTTATCATGCTGGAATATACCTCTGCAGACTGGGAGTCACCTTGTCAGCCAGTATTTTGCTGTATCCATACACATTAATGGTTCCATGTACTGTAATTTTCGGACTATTGAGCACACCTGAATATAAGCCGCACCCACTAACTTCAAAAAGAAAAAAAAGAATTGTACATATACAGACTGCACTTGTCTATAAGCCACAGGTGTCCAAGGTGAAACACAAGACGTTTACACAGAAATATTTTTTTTAACTTTTAATTAAATACGTACCGTAAACATTTTTTTTCCCAAACAGTGCCTGTAACATGGTCAGTTAAAAAAATACAAAATATAGTCGCCTACCAGGAAAAGTCATTGATGGCTATCTTCATCTTCCTCCTGCGCACTAAAACCACTAAAGTCGTCTTCTTCAGTGTCGGAATTGAACAGCCTCAGAATTACTTCGTCACACACTTCCTCAGTCTCTTGAGGCAAATTCGTAAAAATCTTTAAAATCCCTAAATTAGCTGCATCATTGTAAAAGCTGCAATGTTCAAAGCATGTGAAAAAAGTAGCGACTTATTGTCTGGAAATTACAGTCTAAATTTCATCTCCCAGACACCTTTTACACTTGACTAGCCTCATAGAATCACACTCCCATCTCTATGCTTCACTGGTGGGATTATACATTCACTGGGATAATCATAGACAAGTTCACACCAAACATGCTGGACCACATCTGAGCCAATCAAATTTGTCTCAGTCTCAGCTACCCAAAAAATACATTACCAACAATTATCAGGCCTCATTGCATGTTCTTTGGCAAAGTTTACTCTTGCAGGTTTCTGTCAAAGAGCCGCCAAAGGTTTGTATTGGACGCTGCCTTAGAGATTGATGTTATAAAATGTCCATCTTACTGAGTTGTCAAATTTTTTTTTCCCCTTTATAATTCCTGTACTGAAGCACTTATCCGCCTGTTTTTTAAAGCTAGATTATACAAGTAGCGCACTGTGCAAGGCGTCATTTTTAGAAGACGCTATGGTGGATCTGAATGTGGTACTCTGGTTCCTTTCACACCTCCTGTGCTTCTATTGATTTTTTACTTGTATCCTTTTCTATCTTTGTGAAGTCTCACAATGAGATCTTTCAGTTCCTCTGGAAATTCTTTTCCAAGTGGAGACCCAATGCAGACATGCAGAGCAGCACAGTCCATAGGTCTAAGACTGGTAAAGTTCTGGTGAGCACAGGTTGTCTTATAACCTAAAGCCTACTGTGAGGTTTCCACAGTTTATGATGATTTGGGGTGTCAAGCCATCTGCTGGTGTTCATCTGCTGTGTTTTATCAAGTCCAAAGTTAACGCAGCCGTATACCGCAAGGTTTTAGAGCACTTCATGCTTCCACCAGCAAACAAGCTTTGCTTTTCCAGCCCACAGTGCAAAAACTGCTACCGAATGATCTCCTGACCACCAACATCACATTTTTGAATTAAATTACAAAAAAAAACTTTTTCAATATGTTCAATTGTTTTGCAATGCACTAGTATTTATTATATATCTTGTGTATTTCTGCATCAATATCATAATTTAATGTTGAGTTGATTCCCTAACAAGCTGTACAAAGCAACCTGCTGAATTCATTGTGATTTATTTAGATTTCAGTGGATGGTAGAAGAACTGCAGAGAGATTATGGCTAACTTTTTCATTCCTATATCGTTTTCTCTTTGTTCGTTTTCAAATTTGTCCCCCATATGCTGGAAATTTCTGCTGCCAATTTTAAAAAACACTGGTATGAGTTAATTTGCAATATATTTCAACATTATTTAGATATAAATAATAAAATAAGTAATTTATAAAATGTATAATTTTGGGGGGAAAAAAAGAAGAGCTTTCTTGTCATGTATTTGTGCACACAGAGGAGACCAATCTATTTTCCCAAGTGAGGTCACTAATGTGAAACTTGCACCAAACTGTAATAGTAACAGCTGAAGCTAAGCTAACCAGACCTTCTTAAGCCACACCATGACCCAGTGTGTAATCAAGGCATTGCTCGTTTTTACACCAAAGACATCATCATGTTTTCAACATGTAAAAGCATGCACACACAAAGATAAAGATAAAGATAAAGATAAAGATAAACTTTATTCATCCCGAAGGAAATTGTTTTGCCAGAGTACAGTTAAAGCAAGCAAAACAGTTAAAGTAAACACAAGCGCTTCTTTGTAATAACAGTGATATTTCTGCCTGTGTTCAGTCACCCTACTTGTGGAGACCTTCTGCTACAGAAGATAGTTTGCATGTTTTCCTGCCAGTCACTGTGTTGCATGACTGTATAGTGAAAGAAGGACTGCTGCACCCAGTTTTGTTCCCAGAATACTGTTGGCAACATGGTCTTTCCTAAAATAATCAGGTCTTGTGGCAAACAGCAGTCTGGTCTCTGTTTAGTGTTGTTTTAAGAATTTCTGGACGCTTCTCAGTTGAAAGGAAATGTAGTATGTATGTAGGTCATAAGGTTTATACAACCATCGGTCACAACAACGAAGCAACAGCAGTCATCATCTTGTTATGCTTGTTCTGCTGGGAAAACTTGGGTCCTGGCATTCGTGTGGATGTTACACGGACACCACCTAAATATTGCACTGCGAAGGCAGCAGCCTCCCACAGCAGGAGAATATTCCCTGCCACACCGCAAAAACTGCTCAGCAACAGCTTGAGGAGCACGACAAACAGCCCAAGGCATTGACCTGGCCTCTAAAACGCCACAGATCTCAACTTGATCGAGCATCCACGGGACACATCAGAAAAAGTCTGATCCACAGAATCCCCACCCCACAACCCACAGGACCCAAAGGATCTGCGGCGAGTGTCCCATGCCAGGCGACACAGGACAATGCCACGGGTCCGGTGTCCATGCCACGGCAGGCCAGGGGCTTTTTTGGCGGGGGAATTACAAAGGGGCTTCAATGTTGTGGCTCATCTGTGTATGTATACATAAAGTTGTGATCTATCCTAGTGGGTCTAAAGGGTAACAACTAACCTGCCATGTTAACACCACTGGGATATTTTGTTTTCACTTCATTAAAGCTGGATTGGATTGTGTTTCTATAGATAGATAGATAGATAGATAGATAGATAGATAGATAGATAGATAGATAGATAGACCACCACCCAATGTAAGGTTTATACCATAGCAGCCCTAAATTATCAGCATTGGTAATTACCAAAATATGTTTTTTTATGTTACTGTAATGGTTAATACACAAGTATGCAGACACTCTTTAACCCAAATGATATGTTTAATGCTAAAATATAATTATTATTCTTATCCATAATTTTCAAATTTACTGTTTTACCAAAAAAAAAAAGAAAAAATAGTAAAGCACATTATTGTGTTTTTTTATTAAGATGTCAAATTATCTAGAATTATTTACTTACAATCCTGAACAGAAAAAAATAGTTTTAGTGATTAATGTCAAGCTTTATTAATTTCTGACTTCTCAGAGAAGTGAGCCGGCTTAAATCTGGGTACAGCACAATAATATTTATTAAAACTATACTCATCCCATACTTTTCCAGTACTTTACTAAGTTGGAAAAAATGACTAACTGAAGTGACTGCTACTTGAATGTTCTATGTATATTGTCCATACACTTTGACACCACACTAACATGGGTTATTAATGTAAAACAACAACATACATTTCTCAGTTTACTGTTGGTTACTTTCTTATCTCCCTGATTTCAATCTCACACTACAAGTTTTAATCTAATGCATCTTACTGCCCTCCTTTGCTTACAGAAGCTGTGGAGTTTCGTGTCAAGTTTAAATTATTCGTTGCTGTCAATCCACTAAAATTCGCACAAGTCTCGGATGGTAAGTGATGGATCGATGTGCATTCATGAGCGTTCATCTGTAAAGCACACCGAGCGGAGGACACCGGTAAAGGAGGAACGTGTACCTTGTCTACTGGAGGGTACCGGTAGCGCCTCGGTTCATGGATCCGTCCTTCAGTGGCAGCGGTGGTAGGTCCACTGGTGAAGTAAGATCCCATAAGAAATGAAGCTGGACTGTTTCCTGGTGCTCAGTCGGATGGGGACTCTCATCAACTCTGACTAACTTCTCTGTCTGGGCTGGCTGAGTCATGACGTCACCGTTTCTCCGCCAATCACGGGCCGCTACTGTAATGACCGTTTCATTGATGTGAACACAACAGCGGCCCGGAGGCATGAGAGAACTAAGGGCCTGCTGAGGGCCCCGGTCACCAGTAGGGGGCCTCCAAGAGCAAGTTAACTTTAAATATATATATATTTGTGTACTTTTGTTATTAAAATTAGATAACTTTTTTTTTTGCATGTTTGAGTGATGATCCATGTATTATCAAAGTCATATCACTGCATTCAAACACAGTATTATGTAAACAGAGCTCTGCTGATGTAGTGATTCTACTTGAAAAGAGTGAAAATCTCATACTGGTTAGCAGGTAGAGCTCAAAATGATGGATGTTCATCCTGGGTAGTCCTCTTGGGGAGCATCCTGTGCTCAGTATCACTCTAAAAACTTCAACTGAACTACTCAGTTTATTTGGTGAAACATTTTTACACTTACAAATATTGAGAAAATTAAAAAGCTGTGAAATCATTTACATATACTTGATGGTCTTGGTAAATCTAAGTAAAAAAATATAATCTAAATAACTACATTTAGTACCATGACATGAAACAATTAAGTAGATATAATAGAAATTCTGAGTCAATACAACTGTGCCTCATAAGTCAAGAACACACACACACAAAATAAGTACGAAAAAGTTCACATGCAAAGTAGATGTAACTGAAAATTAGACTGCTATTTAACCAAACATGTGTGCTAATTTTTACTAAATGTTGTGATGATCAATTAGCAAAATAATTAGGTTTTACTTACTTAATTTTAAATTGCATTTTACCTTTTGCTCCAGGAATGCTTTAATGGAATCAATTTTTAATGAAAAGAAATTGTACATGTAGTAACATTTTAAGGAAACGTTTATAAAACCAAAATTGAACCTGGTTTACAATGCCACAAGGTTTTAGAGCAATAGTCTCAATGGGCATTATTTTAGATATCAGTTATAAAAAGTATCTGTCAAGACAACAGCTCAAACTGCGTATTTCACTGTCCACAATATAAGACTGGCAAAATAGTTTCAATGGCCATGATTTCAGATATCAATTATAAAACACATTTATCTAGACAATAAATCATAAATATGTCTAATTTAGTATCATATCAAATATTAATTAAACACGTTACAGCCAATTTTCAGGGGGTGCTATGGTTAATTAGCTTTGGTCACAATGTTAATTGGTCAGTCAAAAACGAAAGAGATATCCAATTTATATTCTCTCACTGTGACAATTTCTTTATATCTAAACTGAACAATCAGCATCACTGTCATCACTATCATCAGGAATGTCCCCTTGGCTAGCTACAACTCTGTGCAACTCAGGTTTGTAGATTTACAGGAACACCGTTTTGTAGCACAGTCTCCTGTTTTACACTTAGAGCTAATAAGCTTCAGCAGCTCTCTAGGAGCAGGATCATTAGTCATCCAATTGATGGAAAATTGATTCTCATGGATACTAGCCATGGCCTTCTGCTGATGGTGCACATTATATCAAATGCTCGAAGCAAAATGATCCTGCAGTAACGGAAACTTTATAATGATAGGGCTATTACTGTAGGCCTATCAATCATTATTGCCACAACATTTTGAATTAAATATTTTTCCTATGGCATAAGGAATGTTGACACACAAGTGTTTGTTTTGCGTGATTTCTTAAAATTGCATTGATTGTAACTCTAATTGAAGTAGATTATTATTAACTACAGAATCAGCAATTATTATAATAGATGAATGTTTGGAATCTGAGAAACTTAGTTATTTTGAAAAATGTAATCAGCATGCCCTACCATCCATCCAAGAGAGGAAGAGGGCTTATTAACAATGAATGGCTACACATGAAATTTGAAGGAATGATCAGAAGAAATCCATTGATGTGCTTTGACCATGTTAGCCTGTATAATCAAAAATCAGAGAGAGGGCCAGCACGGCAGCAGCAGGCGAACTACACACACACAGACTACCAAAAAAAAAAAACTTTTTTCACATATAAAATTCTAGGCCTACTCAGCAGTACCATCTGATTTCTGTCTTTTGTCCGTGAAACGTTTGTCACAGGAAGTATGGTAGCAGGGATGGCTTTCCAGTTCACTGTACTCGCTGTCCAACGTGTGTATCAAATCAAACCGGGCTTATTGTTATTTTGCTGTACATACACAGCAGTACAAGCAAGACGAGGGAGCGTTTCTTCAGGATCATTTAATTAGGACGTTTTGCGGAATGCATGTCTACGATAGACAAGACATAAGACAGGGACACAAAGACACACATGATGGTGAAGCCGCAGATGCTGCCCGGAACTAGCTGTCTGTCTGTCTGTCTGTCTGTCTGTCTGCCTGCCTATCCGCCCGGAATAATGTCGTCCCCTCCAGCTGTATGTCCGTCTGGGATGTTGTCATGGAGCCATGTTTCTGTTAAAGCAAACATACAGCAGTCTTTCAACTCTCTGCGGGTTTCTCTCAGCAAACAGAGTTCGTCCAGCTTGTTGTGGAGGGAGCGGATATTGGAGAGTAGGAAGACGGTCCTGCTGGTCTGGAGGGGTTAGCCTTTAGCCGAGCATGGATCCCGGTTCTCTACCTCCTCTTTGATTGGCAACATGACATTGCTTTCTCTCCCTTTCAGTGATATCCACTCTTTCGCAATTATCCTGAATGTGCTTGATCGTGCTTGAGCTATCAAGAATATGCATACAGCAAGCAGGGTTTTCCAGATTTTCATCTGGATTTGGCATCCACGCCTCACTGAGGTCATAAGGTGGTATTTGCATTACGCTGATCAGTCGGAATAGAATAGAATAGAATAGAATGCTTTTATTGTTTTCATACACAAAGTACAACGAAATTAAAAGACAAAAAAAAAAAAGGAAAAAATAAGGAATAGAAATATATAAATAAATAATTAGAAATAATCATAAATAAATTATAATATATAAATAATATAGGTAATAATAATATATAAATAATAAACAGTACAGACTCTAAACTAAACTCCTACCACGGCAGAAAAGATAGTTCCATCTTCACACTCGAATTGCAAAAATACTGCAGGGTTTCTGTGTGTGGAAACTTTATGGAAGTCGGGTGGTTTGATATATTTTCAGAATATATAAAGAGATTTTACTTCCCATAAAAGTGGAACGGAACATCACGATAGAAAAACTAGCGTATGGCCTAAAACGTTGTTTTAAAGCATGAAAAACAGCAAAGTTGTATTTTTTGAAACTCAGTAGTTACAAACATGTTTTGGCATTAGAATGTGTTCTAGTATGATAAACATGAAGGCAAAAGCTGTTTCAATTCACTTTGTGTGAGGGAATTCACAGGAGACATCACTTCACAAACACTTCACAAGCATGAAAAACGGCGAAGTTCTATTTTTTGAAATTCAATTTTTTGAAATTCAATGTTAACAAACATTATTCAGAAGATTGGCCGATGAAAGAAAGTAGCTGCTGCATTTAAATTCACAGCTTTTATTTTGT